CCACGGAGAATTTGGGAGCGAAATCCGCGGGATTTAGGTGCCTTAAAAAAAAAAAAAAAACCACAAAACACCAAAAAAGGCACAAAAACCCCAAAAAACCAACAAATAACAAAAAGTTGCAGCGGCTGCCGCGGATTTGCCGTGACCGCGCCGCCGCCTCCCCGCGGGTGTTTTTGTTTGCTGAGCAAACAGAGCCGGGAGCCGCGGAAAGAAATCCATGGAAATCCATGGAAATCCATGGAAATCTCGCGATTCTCGCGGCCATTTACACCTCCTTTATTCGGAATAAAACCGTCAAAAAAATAACAGAAGGGGAAAAAAAAATTAAAAAAACATAAAACAATGTATCAATAAATTGTTAAAATCCAAACCAGCCGAGAGCGCTCGGAGCAGACGAACGCTGCGGGAATAACGAGGGTTTTTTGGGGATTTTTTTGGGATTCGTTCTGTTTTTGCAGGAGTTTCAGAGCGAACACTGCCGCCTTGTTCGGCTCACCCCGCGCTCACCCCCATCAATCACTCCCGGCGCTCCCGGGGCCTCTCGCCCTTCTCAGCCGCGGCCCCGCCGCTCCCCGGAACGCCCGAAAGCCGCCCAAAAACGCCGGAGTTTCCCCATTTCCAGCGGTTCTTCCCTGCTTTGAGCCGCTTTTCCCCAAAAACGCCGGAATTTCCCCATTTCCAGCGGTTCTTCCCTGCTTTGAGCCGCTTTTCCCCAAAAACGCCGGAATTTCCCAATTTCCAGCGGTTCTTCCCTGCTTTGAGCCGCTTTTCCCCAAAAACGCCGGAATTTCCCCATTTCCAGCGGTTCTTCCCTGCTTTGAGCCGCTTTTCCCCAAAAACGCCGGAATTTCCCAATTTCCAGCGGTTCTTCCCTGCCTAGAGCCGCTCCTTCCCAAAAACGCCGGAATTTCCCTATTTCCAGCGGTTCTTCCCTGCCTAGAGCCGCTTTTCCCAAAAACGCCGGAATTTCCCCATTTCCAGCCTCCTCCCGGCGCCCGCACAGCCCGGCCCGGCCCGGCCCGCGGTTCCTCGGGAGGAAAATCAGCAAAAAATGAGGAAAAACGAGGCAGAAAAAAAAACCCAAATCTCCTCTCCCAGCGTTTTTCTCGCCTTTCCCTGAGGAGCTCCCGCACGGGCGGATGCGGGGCTGCGCTTTTGGGGGTTTTATCCGAAATTTTTGGATTTTTGGCACGGGCGGGAGGATTTGCAGCATCCTTCGCTCCCAAAATCCCCGCGCGGCTGCGGATCCCGGGAATTCTGGCGTGGACGCGGGTGTCCCTGGCACGGCGGGGTTTAAACCGGCCCACGGGGCACCCCCAGACCGGGATTTGCACCCCCAGACGCGGATTTGCACCCCCAGACGCGGATTTGCACCCCCAGACGCGGATTTGCACCCCCAGTCCGGGATTTGTGTCCCCGGCCCCTTCTCCGGGGTGGATTCGCGCTCAGGTGTGCAAATCCCGGGCCCACGGGAAGGGAAAGAGCCCCGGGAAGGTGTCCGAGGGCTGGAAATCCCATTTCCACAAATCCCCATCTCCCCAAATCCCCATTTCTCGGTGTTCCCAGTCCTAAAAATCCCCAATTCCCGATGTTCCTATTTCCACAAATCCCTATTTCCCCAAATCCGCATATTCCCGGTGTTCCCCGTTCCACACGTCCCCGTTTCCGTGTCCCGCTGGGAAGGTGCCGCACACGGGGACAAGGGGGGACAGGGGGACGGGGGACAGAGGGACAGAGGGACACGGGGACAGAGGGACACGGGGACAGAAGGACACGGGGACAGAGGGACACGGGGACAGAGGGACAGCGGGACACGGGGACACGGGGACAAAGGGACAGAGGGACACGCGTCTCCCTGCGGCTCTGGCAACGCCCCACGGCGGCGCCCGCAGCGCCCTTGGAACTGTCCAAACCGCAGGAAAGCGCCCCAAATCCGCGGGGGCGCCGTCCCGGGAGCCCCGCGGCGCTTCCCTTCCCAGCCCGTACCCCCGGGAGCCACGGGGTTGAATTCCCGGCCCCGGGAACGGGGGTGAATTCCCGGCCCGGGAACGGGGGCGAATTCCCGGCCCAGGGAACCCCGAGGGGCGAATTCCCGGCCCGGGAACGGGAGAGAATTCCCGGCCCGGGAACGGGGGCGAATTCCCGGCCCAGGGAACCCCGAGGGGCGAATTCCCGGCCCCGGGAACGGGGGCGAATTCCCGGCCCGGGAACGGGGCGCCCCCCGATCCCCCTGTCCCCACCGCCACCCCCTCACCCTCCTGTCCCTCCGCTCTGCCGCCAACAAGCGCCGCCAGGAGCGGGCCGGGAATTGTTTTGCGCGGATCTTTGCCCGTTTTTGCGCGGATTTCCCCGTTTTTCCCGGGAATGCTCGTTCAGCTCATCAGCATTCCGGGCCCGCCTGACCTCTCCTTGCACCCGCAGCCGGGCGGAGCCGGCGCGGCGGCTGCGCCCGCGGAGCGCGGAGCGCTCTAATTCGGCGATTACTGTCACAGCGCCATTTGTCACCCTGTCACCCGCCCGGGGACACTCGGCGGGCCCCGGGCCCCCGCCCGGCGCTGCTTTCATCTCCGCGGGGCCGATTAAAGATCGGCGGCTCGGAGCGCGCGGGGGAAGGGGAGAGCGGGGCGAGGTGCCAGCGCCATAAATCCCCTTTTCCGCAAATCCCCTTTTCCGCAAATCCCCTTTTCCGCAAATCCCCAAACCCCCATTTCCCCGCGTCTCCATTTCCACAAATCCCCATTTTCCCAAATCCCCATTTCCCCTCGTTTCCAGTTCCAGAAATCCCCATTTCCACAAACCCCAATTTACCCGCATTTCCATTTCCAGTAATCCCTATTTCCCCTCGTCTCCATTTCCACAAATCCCCATTTCCCCAAATCCCCATTTCCCCTCGTTTCCATTTCCCCAAATCCCCATTTCCCCTCGTTTCCATTTCCATAAACCCCAATTTCTACTCATTTCCATTTCCCCAAATCCCCATTTCCCCGGGTTTCCACTTCCAGAAATCCCCACCTCCCCTCGTTTCCATTTCCAGAAATCCCAATTTCCACTCGTTTCCATTTCCCCGTGTTTCCATTTCCCCGTGTTTCCATTTTCCTGCTTTCCAGTTCCGCAAATCCCCATTTCCCCGAATCCTCACATCCCGGTTTTTCCAGCGCCCCAAATTCCAATTTCCTTTCCGGGTCCCCAAACCCCCAAACTCCCCCTAAAGCACCCCAAAATCCCGATTTTCGGGGATGAGGATGGATGGATGGAGCGCCCTTGGAGCAGAGGAGAGCGCCCCCCGCCCCCTCCCCAATTAATTCCCCGAAACAATTAAAAACCGTCCAGGGCTGCGCTGCCTTCATTAACGCTGCCGGTATTAATTAGCAACAGGCGGGAGCTGCCCTCCCCCCCCTTCCTCATTAATTAATTGCTGTCAGTAATTAATAGATCGGGGGTCGCGGTGGGGGAGGGGCGGCGGTGACCCCGCTGTGACCCCTGCCCGGGGTGGGGGTGGGGCACGCTCAGAATTCCCAAAAAAAGGGTCGGGATTGGGCTGGAGGGAGGTTTTGGGGCGAAAATGTGGGGAAAATGGGTGCGGGGAAATTTATGGGGTGTGGGAAAATTTGGGATGGAGGTGTGGGAAAATCCGGGATACTGGGACTGGAAAATCTGGAATTGTCAGGGATGCAGATACAGGAAAATCTGGAATTCTTTAGGATGCAGAGGAGGGAAAATCTGGGATGCTGATGCACGAAAATCTGGAATTGTCAGGGATGCTGATACAAGTAAATCTGGGATTCTCTGGGATGCTGACGCAGGAAAATCTGGAATTCTCTGGGATGCCGATGGAGCCAAGCCCGGCCTTGCTGGAGCAGCTCCGCTCCCTTCCCGAGGCTTTCCCGGCTGGAAAATCCCGCTCCGCGTCCGCCTTGTCCGCGCTCCCTCTGGAGTCGGCGGAGAGAATCGGCACCAAACCCGCAATTCCCGGGAAAAACCCCAAAATGCTGATCCTAAACGGGCCCGACTCCCTTAAACCCACCCGGGCTGTTCCTAAATCAGCAATTCCAGGGAAAAACCCCAAAATGCGGATCCTAAACGGGCCCGACCCCCCAAATCCGGGCAGGGAGTGACCAGCACAGGGAGTGACCAGGGCAGTGAGTGACCAGCACAGAGAGTGACCAGGGCAGGGAGTGACCAGGGCAGTGAGTGACCAGCACAGGGAGTGACCAGCACAGAATGACCAGGGCAGGGAGTGACCAGGGCAGGGAGTGACCAGCACAGAGTGACCAGGGCATGGACTGGGGGTCACCCCCAGATCCTTTCCCTTCCCAGCCTTGGGGGGGCCTGGGAAGGGTTTGCAAAAGGGATTGGAGGGGGGAGAAAAGTCTGGAATGGGGACCTGGAATGGGAACAAAACGGGAACAAAACCTGGGAATGGGGTCGGGGATGGGATCAAAGCCGGGAGTGGGGTCAGGAGGGCAGGACCTGACCCGGAACGCTGCTGGGCTCTGCTGGGATTTGGGATCACCCCGGGGAGAATTGGGAATTTCTTCCCGGGGAAGTTTCTTCCCCAGAACATCCAAGTGCTCCCAGCCCAGAGGACGAAATCCCACCTGAAACCGCCCCAAAAAGGGCCCGGCCAGAGCGGGGCGGCTCCACCCGCTCCCGATCCCACAAAACGGGGCAGGAGCAGCCCCTGAGGATTTGGGGAAAGCCTGGAGCTCATCCCCGGCAGAATTCCCGCTGGAAAAAGGGGCCGAGCACCGAGATCACAACATTTGGGTTTTTTTCCCCCATCTCCCTCGAACGCTAATTAAAATAAACCCCCAAAAAAGCTCAAAAAGGAAGAAGAGGAAGAGGAAGGAATAAGGGAGAAGAGGGAAGGAGGAAGAGGAAGGGAGGAAGAAGAGGGAAGAAGAGGAAGACGAAGGAGGGGAGGAGGAAGAGGAAGGGAGGAGGAGGATGAAGGAAGGTTCGTTGGTTCCCCCCTCCCCCCCACGCCTCTTTCCTTGTTGTTTTTACCAATTCTCGCCTTTATTAATTCCAGAATTCCACAGAAGACGCCGCGAGGCAGCGACCCACGAACCCTCCCCCACCCCCTAAAGGAGCCCTAAACCCCCTCCCGAGTGGGGAAACTGAGGCAGGACCCACCCCCACCCCCTAAAGGAGCCCTAAACCCCCTCCCGAGTGGGGAAACTGAGGCAGGGATTGACCCTCTGCCCTGTAGTGTCGCCCTAAATCCTGTTCCGAGTGGGGAAACTGAGGCAGGGACCCGTCAGTTCTCCTCCCCCCAGTTCCAAACTGCTCAAACTGAGGCAGGGACCCCCCAAGTTCCCTCCCCTCAGCTCCTGAGCAGGGAAACTGAGGCAGGGATCCCCGAACTTTCTTCCTCTTAGTTCCTGACCGGGGAAACTGAGGCAGGAACCCCCCAAACTCCTTCCCCTCAGCTCCCGAGTGGGGAAACTGAGGCAGGGACCTGCCAACCTCCTTCCCCTCCGTTTCTGAACAGGGAAACTGAGGCAGGGACCCCCCAGGTTCATTCCCCTCCATTTCTGAGCGGGGAAACTGAGGCAGAGACCCCCGAACTTTCTTCCTCTTACTTCCTAAGCGAGGTAACTGAGGCAGGGACCCCCCACCCCCCTTCCCCTCCGTTTCTGAGCGGGGAAACTGAGGCAGGGACCCCCCAACCCTCTTCCCCTCAGCTCCTGAGCAGGTTGACCGAGGCAGGGACCCCCCAAGTTCATTCCCCTCAGCCCCTGAGCAGGTTAACGGCGGCAGGGGCCCCCCAGACTCCTTCCCCTCCGTTTCTGAGCAGGTTAACCGAGGCAGGGACCCCCCGAGCTCTTCCCCCTCAGCCCCTGAGCAGGCTAACGGCGGCAGGGGCCCCCCGAGCCGCCCCCCCAGCAGCCGCAGCACCCCCAGCTCCGCCAGCCGCGCCCGCGCCTCGCTCTCCCAGCCGCGGTTGGCGCGGGGGTTGCGGGGGGACGGGTGCGGGATCCAGGCCACGGGCACGGGCAGCCCCGCGTCCCGCAGCGCCCGGCGGGCCCGCAGCTCGGCCACGCGGCCCACGGCCACCACCAGCCGCACCCCGAGCGCGGCCACGGCGGCGGCGAGCGCGGCGGAGCACGGCCCGAGCAGCCGCTCCCGCTCGGCCGCCCGCAGCTCCGGCGGGGCCACGTTGCGGCCGCTGGCGGCCAGGAACAGCAGCGGGCACAGGTTGTGCACGAAGCAGTGGCGGAAGAACGAGCGCGGGTCCGGGCACAGGCTCCGCACCAGCCCCCAGAACCGGGCGCCGCTGACCTCGGCCCGCGGGCAGCGCAGCCCCAGCACCGGCCGCTTCGGGTGCTCCCCCGGCGGCCGCCGCACCGCGCCCGACACCCGCAGCCACTCCCGGACGTGCCACGCCTCGCCGAACGGCACCTGCGGGAGGGGGGGCGTTAGGGGAGGGGGCACGGGGGGGGAACAGCCCCATCCCCCCATGGATAGAGCGGGATCCCCCCGTGCCTCAGTTTCCCTCCTCAAGGACACCCTGAGATGGACTGGGACCCCCCCGTGCCTCAGTTTCCCCCCATGGATACAGTGGGACCCCCCCCCCGTGCCTCAGTTTCCCCCATGGATAGAGCGGGACCCCCCCGTGCCTCAGTTTCCCCCCGTGGATAGAGTGGGACCCCCCCGTGCCTCAGTTTCCCTCCTCAAGGACACCCTGGGCTGGACTGGGACCCCCCCCCGTGCCTCAGTTTCCCCCCATGGGATGCCGGTGCCCCCTTCCCGGTGCCCCCCAGCCCCTCTCCCCTCTGTCCCGGTGCCCCTCCCGGTGCTCCCATCCACTCTCCCGGTGCCCCCCATCTCCTCCCGGTGCCCATCCCGCTTCTCCCCGCTCCCCCCATCCCCTGTCCCCGCTCCCTCTCCCCGGTGCCCCGGTCCCCGCTCCCCCAGCCCCTCTCCCGGTGTCCCTGTGCCCGTTCCCGCTCCCCCCGGTGTCCCGGTGTCCGGTCCTCGCTCCCCCAGCCCCGCTGCCCCCGGTGCCCGGTTCCCGTTCCCCCAGCCCCTCTCCCGGTGTCCCGGTGCCCGCTCCCCACTCCCCCCGGTGCCCCGGTATCCCGGTCCCCGTTCCCCCAGCCCCGCTCCCGCTGGTGTCCCGGTGCCCACTCTCGCTTCTCCCGGTGTCCCGGTGTCCGGTTCCCGTTGCCCCGCCCCGCTCCCGCTCCCCCCGGTGTCCGGTTCCCGCTCTCCCCGGTATCCCGGTTCCCGTTTCCCCAGTCCCGCCCGGCTCCCGTTCCCCCGCCCCGCTCCCGGTGCCCCACTCCCGGTGCCCGCTCCCCCGCTCCCGGTGCCCGGTCCCCGTTCCCCCTCCCTCTCCCGGTGTCCCGGTGCCCGGTTCCCGCTCCCGGTTCCCGCTCCCGCTCCCGTTCCCGTTCCCGCTCCCGGTGCCGGTGCCCGGTTCCCGTTCCCGCTCCCGGTGTCCCGTTCCCGCTCCCGCTCCCGTTCCCGGTGCCGCACCCCGGTCTGCGCCATGCCGAAGGGCCCGGGGTTCATGCCGAGGAAGAGCACGGCGGGCCGGCGGCGCAGGAAGCGGCGCACGAAGCTCCGGTGCGGCTCCCACGCGTACTCGAGCGGCGCGTACACCGCGGCCACGGGCGGGCCCGGCGGCGGCAGCGCCCGCAGCCGCTCGGACAGAGCCCGCTGCAGCGCCAGGAACCGCGCCGCCACGCCTTCGGCCTCGCCGCCGTCACCCTCATCATCCTCATCATCATCGGCTTCATCATCCTCATCATCATCCTCATCGGCTTCTTCATTATCCTCATCATCATCGGCTTCATCACCGGCCGCATCCTCATCCTCCTCAGCCCCGGCCCCGGCCCCGGTCCCGGTCCCGCCTCCCTCCTCTTCCTCTTCCTCACTCCGCGCTCCTTCCTCCTCCTCCTCCTCCTCCTCCTCCTTCCGCTCCATCCCCCATGGCCTGCGGGACACAGCGGTGACACAGGGGGGACACGGGGGTGGCACAGAGGGGACACAGGGGACTCGGGGGTGGCACAGAGGGGACAGGGGACACCGGGGGGCACAGCGGTGCCCGGGAGGGGGGGTCAGGGGAGCCCCGGGGTGGCACAGAGGGGACAGGGGAGGTAACAGTGGAGCCCCGGGGAGGACAGGAGGGGACAGCAGTGCCCGGGGGTGACACAGAGGGGGACAGGGGAGCCCCGGGGGGGACAGAGGGGACACCGGGGAGGGGACACCAGACCCCGGGGGTGGGACAGAGGAGCCCCGGGGTGACACAAAGGGGACAGGGGAGCCCTAGCGGGGGGTCAGGGGAGCCCCGGGGGTGGCACAGAGGGGACAGGAGAGCCCGGGGGGGACAGAGGGGACACTGGGGAGGAGACAGAGGACCCCCGGGGGTGGCACAGAGGGGACAGGGGCGGGGACAGAGGGGACAGCGGAGCCCGGGGGGGCGGGGCAGGCTGGCGGTGCCGAGGCCGCTGCTGACCCCCCCCAAACCTTCCCCCCTCCCCCCCCAAACCTTCCCCCCTCCCCCCCAAACCTTCCCCCTCCCCCTCCCCGGGTCCCTCCCGCCCCGCTCCCCCGTGACGTCACACACGCCCCCGATGACGTCACGGCCGCCGCCGCGAGCCCACCTGGAGCGCGCGCGCCGCGTCCGCCCGGCCCCGCCCCCCTCCAGGCCCCGCCCCCTTCCCGGCATGCCCCGCGCGGGGGGGGCGTGGCCCGGCCCTTTGTCTGCGCGCGGAGTTTCCCATCGTGCTTTGCGGCGGGAAAACATCCTCAAAAATCCCACCCAGACCCCCCAAAAATCCCATCTAGAGACCCCCAAAAATCCCACCCAGACCCCCCCAAAAAATCCCATCCAGAGACCCCCAAAAATCCCACCCAGACCCCCCCAAAAAATCCCATCCAGAGACCCCCAAAAATCCCACCCAGACCCCCCCAAAAAATCCCACCCAGAGACCCCCAAAAATCCCACCCAGAGACCCCCAAATCCCACCCAGAGACCCCAAATCCCACCCAGACTCCCCAAAAATGCCCCCAGACCCCCCCAAACCCTCTCAAAATCCCCCCAAATCCCCCCTGACCCCCCCAAATCCCACCCAGACCCCCCCAAATCCCACCCAGACTCCCCAAAAATACCCCCAGACCCCCTCAAATACCTCAGAGCCCCCCAAATGTCCCCCCGCAGGGCGGGGGCGGGGTCTGCTCAGGCCACGCCCCTTCCCACGGTGGGTGGGGGGGCGCGGAGCTGCGGCGGCGCGAGGGCGCCCCCTGGCGGGCGCGGGAGGAAACGACGGGAGTGTCCCCGACCCCCCCCCGGTGTCACCCGAGTGTCCCCGACCCCCCCCCGGTGTCACCCCAGTGTCCCCAACCCCCCCCGGTGTCACCGAATGTCCCCAACCCCCCCTCGGTGTCACCGAATGTCCCCAATCCCTCTCCGATACCACACCAGTGTCCCCAACCCCCCCCCCGGTGTCACCCCAGTGTCCCCAACCCCCCCTCGGTGTCACCCGAGTGTCCCCAACCCCCCCCGGTGTCACCCCAGTGTCCCCGACCCCCCTCGGGTGTCCCCCAGTGCCACCCCCGCTGTCCCCTCTGGGTGTCCCCTTTGTCCCCACACGCAGCGCTGCGCGGCCACCACCAGGGGACACCACCGGGGGGACACTGAGGGGACATTGGGGACACTGAGGGGACATTGGGGACACTGGGGCAGACTGGGCCACACTGGGGACACTGGGCTGGGGACACTGGGGACAATGAGGGGACACTGGGCCACACTGGGGACACTGGGCCATACTGGGGACACTGGGCTGGGGACACTGGGGACACTGAGGGGACACTGGGGACACTGAGGGGACACTGGGGCAGACTGGGCCATACTGGGGACACTGGGGGGACACTGGGCCAGGTTGGGGACACTGCACTGGTGACACCAGGCCATACCGAGGTGACACCGAGGTGACACTGAGGTGACACTGAGGTGACACCAGGCCGTGCCGGTGACCCCGTGCCGGTGACCCCGTGCCGGTGACCCCAGTGTCCCCACCCCAGCAGGTGACAGCTCTGAAAAGTGACCGTTTATTGGAAGCAAACCCGGGGGGGGATTGGGGACAACACGGGGACAGAGGGGACACCCCAGCGGGGCCCCACTAAAAACACCGACTTTAAAAAACACCAAAATGCGGGGACACCCCCAGACGTGGCCCGGGGACGGCCGGGGACACCCTGGGGACACCCTGGGGACACCCTGGGATACCCCAGGACATCCCAGGGACACCCAGGGACACCCAGGGGACGGCTGGGGACACCCTGGGACACCCAGGGACACCCCAGGGACACCCTGGGACACCCCAGGACACCCAGGGGGACACCCAGGGGATGCCCAGGGACACCTGGGGACACCCTGGGACACCCTGGGGACACCCCGAGGACACCCAGAGACACCCGGGGACACCCAGGGGATGCCCAGGGAAACCCCGGGGACACCCAGGGACACCCAGGGACACCCTGGGGACATCCCAGGACATCCCTGGGACACCCTGGGGACACCCTGGGACATCCCAGGGACACCCAGGGACACCCCTGGGACACCCCTGGGACACCGGGGACACCCCGGGGACACCCCAGGACATCCCAGGGACCCCCAGGGACACCCCAGGACACCCAGGGGATGCCCAGGGACACCCAGGGGACACCCAGGGGACACCCAGGGACACCCAGGAACACCCTGGGGACACCCAGGGACACCCAGGGACACCCAGGAACACCCTGGGACACCCCCGGGACACCCAGGGACACCCCGGGACACCCAGGGACACCCCAGGGACACCCAGGGGACACCCAGGGACACCCGGGGACACCTTGGGGACACCCAGGGGCCACCCAGGGACACCCAGGGGATGCCCAGGGACACTCAGGGACACCCAGGGACACCCCAGGACACCCAGGGGACACCTGGGGGACACCCAGGGACACCCCGGGCTCAGCTGCGGGGCGGGTCCCGCTCCTTGGGCTCGCTGTCCTCGGGGTACGCGTGCCACGTCAGCCGCTCCTCGTAGAAGGCGATGACAATCTGGGGACAGCGCAGGTTGGCCTCCTTGGCCAGCACCAGGTCAGCCTCGTCTGTGTCCTTCCTGAGGGGACACGGGGACAGAATGGGGACATGGGGACAGAATGGGGACATGGGGACAGAATGGGGACATGGGGACAGGCTGGGGACACGGGGACAGAATGGGGACATGGGGACAGAATGGGGACATGGGGACAGAATGGGGACATGGGGACAGGCTGGGGACACGGGGACAGAATGGGGACATGGGGACAGAATGGGGACATGGGGACAGAATGGGGACATGGGGACAGGATGGGGACACAGGGACATGGGGACAGCGCAGGTTGGCCTCCTTGGCCAGCACCAGGTCAGCCTCGTCTGTGTCCTTCCTGCGGGGACACGGGACAGAATGGGGACATGGGGACAGAATGGGGACATGGGGACAGAATGGGGACATGGGGACAGGCTGGGGACAAGGTTGGGGACACAAACTGGGGACATGGGGATAAACTGGGGGACAAGGACAACCTGGGGACACAAAGTGGGGTCATAAATTGGAGACATGGGGACAAACTGGGCACACAAATTGGGGACACAAACCGGGGGACAAGGACAAACTGGGGGGCACAAACTGGGGACACAAACACAAACTGGGGACGCAAATTGGGGACACAAACCAGGGGACAAGGACAAACTGGGGACACGGACACGAACTGGGGGCACAAACTGGGGACACGAACTGGGGACACAAACTGGGGACACGGACACGAACTGGGGACACGAACTGGGGACACAAACTGGGGACACAGACACGAACTGGGGACACAGACTGGGGACACAAACTGGGGACACAAACACAAACTGGGGGCACAGACACGAACTGGGGGTCCCGGGGCCCCTGGGGACAGTGGGGACAGTGCGGCGGTGGCCTCACCACTTCATGAGGAACATGAGGTCCCCGCAGGAGTCGGTGGCCCCGATGATCTTCTCGGGCTCCAGCCCCCGCTCGAAGCCGCGGGCGATGTCGTTGCTCTGTGGGTTTGGGGAAAGAGGGGTTGGTTTTGGGGAAAAAGGGGATTTTGGGTGGAGGAGAGGCCAGGGAAGGGTCCCCAGGGGTGGCACTGGGGATGGCCCCGTGCCTGGGCCCTGTCCCCTTCCCTGGTGGCCATTCCAGGAGTCCCCGTGGAGAGGACACTGGGTGCCACTGTCCCCAGTCCTTGTCCCCATCTCTGAATTCCCACCCCCATCCCGGTGTCCCTGTCTCCATGCATGTGTCCCCATCTGCTCCCGGTGTCCCTGTCCCCTCCCGGTGTCCCTGTCCCCATCCCCATGTCCCCATCCCCTCCCTGTCCCCAGCTGTCCCCATGTGTTCCCAGGTGTCCCCATGTATTCCCAAGTGTCCCCAGGTGTCCTGTCCTGTCCCCAGGTGTTCCCTCTTGTCCCCTGCTGTCCCCAGGTGTCCCCACTGTCCCCAGGTGCCCCCAGTGTCCCCATGTGTCCCCAATGTCCCCAGGTGTTCCCATGTGTCCCCAGTGTCCCCATCCCCTCCTGCTGTCCCCATCTGTCCCCCAGCTGTCCCCAGTGTCCCCATCTGTCCCGTCTGTCACCTCTCTCTTCTTCTTGGCCCTGCCGTCCTCGCCGCCGGGCAGTCCCTTGCGCTTGGCGCCCTCGGGGCGCTCGCGGGGCCGCGTCCCCTCGCTGTCCCTCATGTCCCTCATCCTGCGGTCCTTGCGCAGGAACTGCGAGATCAGCTCGGGGCAGTCCAGGTTCTTCTCGGGCTCCCACGTGTTGTGCTCCCTGGGGACACCGGGGGACAGGGACACCGTCAGGGGACACCCAGGGGACAGGGGACAATGTCAGGGGACAGGGGACACCCAGGGGATGGGGGACACGGTCAGGGGGCGGGGGACACGGTCAGGGGACACCCAGAGCACCCAGGGACACTGTCAAGGGACACGGCAGGGGACAGGAAACACCCAGGGGACAGGGGCAGGGGACACCCAGGGGACACCCAGGGGACAGGGGACAGGGGACACCCAGGGGACAGGGAACACGGTCAGGGGACGGGGGACACGGTCAGGGGACGGGGGACACCCAGGGGACAGGGGGCACCCAGGGGACACTGTCAGGGGACAGGGGACACCCAGGGTACATCCAGGGACACGTCAGGGGACACCCAGGGGACACAGTCAGGGGACAGGGGACACCCAGGGGACAGGGGACACAGAGGAGACACTGTCAGGGCACAGGGGACACCCAGGGGACACGGCCAGGGCACACCCAGGGTGCTGTGTCCCCTGTCCCCTGTCCCCTGTCCCGTCACTCACTCGGAGAAGCCCTTCCACTTGAGCAGGTACTCGGCCTGGCCCCTCACCACGCGCCGGTCCAGCACCTTCTCCACCACATACTCCTCCTCCTCCCCCGAGGACGAGCTGTCGGCGGCCCGGCGGCTCCTCCTGCCCATAGCGCAGCCACCGCTCTGGGGACAGGGACAATGTCACCGTGGGTCAGGGATGTCACCCAGGGGCTCCTCCTGCCCATAGCGCAGCCACCGCTCTGGGGACAGGGACAGTGTCACCGTGGGAGTGTCACCATGGGTCAGGGAATGTCACCCTGCCCCGGCTCCTCCTGCCCATAGCGCAGCCACCGCTCTGGGGACAGGGACAGTGTCACCGTGGGACAGGGAATGTCACCCTGCCCCGGCTCCTCCTGCCCATAGCGCAGCCACCGCTCTGGGGACAGCGACAGGGACAGGGACAATGTCACCGTGGGTCAGGAATGTCACCCTGCCCCGGCTCCTCCTGCCCATAGCGCAGCCACCGCTCTGGGGACAGCGACAGGGACAGGGACAGGGACAGGAGTGTCACCATGGCACTGCCCAAAACCTCCTCCTGCCCATAGCGCAGCCACCGCTCTGGGGACAGGGACAGGGATGTCACCGTGGGTCAGGGAATGTCACCATGGCACTGCCCAACACCTCCTCCTGCCCATAGCGCAGCCACCGCTCTGGGGACAGGGACAGTGTCACCGTGGGAGTGTCACCATGGGTCAGGGAATGTCACCCTGCCCCGGCTCCTCCTGCCCATAGCGCAGCCACCGCTCTGGGGACAGGGACAAGAGTGTCACCATGGGTCAGGGATGTCACCCAGGGGCTCCTCCTGCCCATAGCGCAGCCACCGCTCTGGGGACAGGGACAATGTCACCGTGGGAGTGTCACCGTGGGTCAGGGATGTCACCAGGGCAGAGGGCACAGGGGTGTCACCATGGGAATGTCACCATGGGACAGGGAATGTCACCCAGGGGCCCCTCCTGCCACCACTCTGGGGACAGGGATGTCACCAGGGCAGAAGGGACAGTGTCACCATGGGTCAGGGAATGTCACCCCGGGGCTCCTCCTGCCACCGCTCTGGGGACACGGCGTTGTCACCCATGGGGGACAGGGGGGACACCTCAGGGGGGGGATTTGGGCTCATCTCAGGACCCCCAAGAGGGATTTGGGGTCATTTTTGGGATCCCCAAGAGGAATTTGGGGCAATTTTGGGTCCCCCAAAAGGAATTTGGGGTAATTCTGGGATCCCCAAGAAGAATTTGGGGTAATTTTGGGATCCCCAAGAGGGATTTGGGGTAATTTTGGGATCCCCAAGAGGAATTTGGGGTAATTTTGGGTCCCCCAAAAGGAATTTGTGCTAATTCTGGGATCCCCAAGAGGAATTTGGGGACACCTCAGGATCCTCTGATCCCAAGGGAGAAGCACAGGAGGGGATGATTCCTAAAACCCAGTGGGGATTTAGGCACAAAGAAATGCGATTTGGGCTAAAAACTCCTTAAAAAAAAAGAACACCAGAGAATTCAGGCAGAACGAAATGGAATTTGGAATAAATCCCCAAAAACTGAGGGGGGATTTGGGAGCAGAGAAATGGAGTTTGGGCTAAACCCCTTAAAATGGGGAAGATTAAAAAAAAAAAAAGGCGTTTTAAAATCCCTGAAATCAGTTTTTCCCCACCCTCAAGGCAGGATTTGAGCGGATTTCTCCCTTTACACCCAGCCCAAGGGGAATCCCTCGCTCCGGCCGGAATTTCCTGCGGGGCTCCCGGGGGGATTTGGGGCGGCCCCCTGAGGGAGAAGGCGCCGCTTTGGGTGGGAAAAGGCCAATTTCGGGAAAATCCGCGCCCGGGAATCCTGAGGGAACAAAGGGAGGGCGCCGCGCGGAGGCCCGGGAGCGCTTTGCCGGGGCCGAAGCCGCGGCTGTGAGGGAAAAGCCGCCGCTGCGGGGCGGGACGCGGCGCTCCGAGGGCCCGGGCGGCGATTTTGGGGTGAAAAACCGCAAATTTGGGCTCAAAGCGCCCGAAGCTGAGGGGCCCGGCCGCCGGGCCAGGGGGCGGGGCCAGCAGCGCGCCGCCGCACGCCATTGGTCAGAGCCACCGCGCGCCGCGCCGTGATTGGCAGCGCGCCCCTCGGCTCGCCGCGGCCCCGCCGCACGACTATTGGGCGGTGGAACCGTCACTCCGAGCGCCGCTCCGCCTCCCCTGCGCTGCTATTGGTCAGCGCGCCTGTCACTCGGCGCGCCGCCCCGCCTCCCGCTCGCTGATATTCACCACCGCGCCCGTCACTCCCCGCCAGGCCCCGCCCCCCGCCAGCATCCATTGGCCGCCGCGCCTGCCCGTCACGGCGGCGGACCCGCCCCCGCGCCGCCGCCGGTTCATCCGCCGCCCGCCGCCGGCGCTACCTGCGCGGAGAGCGGCTCCGGCGCGGGCCCGTCCGCCGCGGTCTGGCCGCCCCTCCGAGCCGCCGCCGCTCCGCGCTCCGCCCGCCAAAACCGCCCGCAGCGCGCAGGCGCCGCCGGCCGCGCTCCGCGCATGCGTCCGCCCGCCTTTCCCCCCCTCTCCCCAAAGCCAACCGCGATGGGCGCATGCGCTGCCGCGGCCGCACCTTGGGGCCGGCGGGCGGGCGGCCCCTGCTCGCCGCCGCCGCCGGGAGTCGCCGCCGCCGCCTCGCTCTGCGCCCGCCGCGCCGCGCTCGCCGAGCTGCGCTGGGCCCGCCGCCGCCAGCGCTGATGGACGGCCGCGCCCGCCAATGGGCACCGTCCCCCCTCTTTCCCAGCCAATGAGCGCCTGGCGAGGGGCGGGCCCTGCTTCGCTCCAACCAATCAGCGGCGCGCCGGGGAGTCTCCGGGCCGGAGCGGGAAAAGCGGCGCGGGGCGTGTCGGCAGCGATTCCCCCCAATCCCGCGGCGCGAGGGCGGGACGTTTCTCCCTTCAGCCAATCAGCGGCAGCGCGGGGGGCGGAGCGCGGCGAGGCAGCCAATGGGGCGGCGGCGCTGTGCGGCGGCAGCCAATGGGCGGCGGCGCGGGGGCCGCGCGGGCGGCGGGGGCGGCGGGGTGAGGCGGCGGCGCTCGCGGCGCTCGGCCCCTTTCCGTGTCGGCCCTCGCAGAGGGAGCATCGCGCGCCGCCGCCACCGCCCCGCGCCGCCGCCATGGCCAAGGCCGAGGTCAGCAGCAGCGCCCGCCCCGCTCCCCGCCGATCCGCGCGCCCCGTTGTTTTTGTTATTTTTTTGGTTGTTTTTTGTTTTTTTTTTAAGCCATCCCCGTTCCCTCCCCCCCGCCCCCGCCCCCGCCGCCGCCTGGCGGGCCGCGGGACCGCACTGCGCCTGCGCGCGGCGCCCCCCCTCATCCCCTCAGCCGCGCAGGCGCCATTGGGGGGGGGGCACACACAGAGCCCCCTCCCCTCCCCCCCTTCCCCTCCCCTCCCCCCTCAGGTTCCATTTTTGGGGGGGGTCCCACAGAGCCCCCTACTCCCCTCCCCCCCCCCCTTCAGACTCCATTTTGGAGGGGGGGTCCAAAAGAGCCCCTTCCCCCCTCAGGTTCCGTTTTTGGGGGGTCCCACAGATTCCCTCCCCCTCAGGCTCCATTTTGGGGGGGGTTCCCACACAGCTCCCCTCTCCCGGCTCAATTTGGGGGGGGGTCCCACAGATTCGCCCCCCTCCCCTCGCTCCGGCGCATGCGCGGCCCCCCCTCACCCCGCGCGCGCTCCCGCGGCCACGTGCGCGCGCTTTGTGTCACGGGGGGGTCGGGAATAACGGGGGGGGGAGGGGGTTTGGGGGGTGTTGGAATTTGGGGTGTGGGGGGCTTAAAATTAAAGCTGGGGGGGTGGGGGAGTTGGGGTTTGGGGTTGGGGAGGCGAATTTAGGGGATGGAGGGGTCAGAAATAGGGGCTGGGGGCGCTGAGGGGGCTGGTGGGCCCCAAAAATGGGGGTTGGGGGTGTTGGAATTTGGGGTGTGGGGCCTTTGTGGGGGTTAAAATTATAACTGGGGGGGTGGGGGGTCAGAAATAGGGGCAGGGGACACTGAGGGGGCTGGGGGTGGTGAGGGTGCTGGTGGGCCCCAAAAATGGGGGTTGGGGGAGAGATTTGGGGGCCTGAGAGGCAAAATTTTGGGGTTGGGGGTGTTGGAATTTAGGGTGTGGGGGCTTGGGGAGGTTTAAAATTAAAAATGGGGGTTTAGGGTGATCAGAAATAGGGGTTGGGGGCACTGAGGGTGCTGGTAGGCCCCAAAAATCGGGGTTGGGGGGGAGATTTGGGGGCCTGGGACATTGAGAAATTTGGGTTGGGGGGGTTTGGGGGTCTGGTGGCTCCACCCAGGTGGGAACTGGGGATGCTCAAGGTTCAGGTGGCCCCAAAAATTTGGGATGGGGGAGCTCGGGGGGGTCCCCAGGGGGGGGCTGGGTCAGGGGGGGATTTGTTGGGGGTGGGTTTGGGGTGTCAGGAGCTCTTTTGGGGGGGAAGGTCCCATTTGGGTTTTTTTTGGGATCTCAGGGGGGATTTGGGGGTGTCAGGATCTCCCTGGAGCTTTGGGGGGGGATTTTGGGGTGTGAGGGGGGTCCCAGGGGGGAATTTGGGGTGTGAGGGGGTCCCAGGAGGGATTTTGGGGTGTGAGGGGGGTCCCAGGTGGGATTTTGGGGTGTCTGCCCCCTCTGGAGCTGGGTGAGGGGGTTTTGGGTGGGATTTTGGGGTGTCAGCCCCCCCGAGCCAGATGGGGATTTTGGGGGTGTTTTAAGGGGGATTTCAGGGGTGTTTCGGGGGTGTTTTGGGGGAGGTTTTAGGGGGGATTTGGGTTCCCCACCCCCATGCATGGGGTTTCGGGGTGCCCTGAGCCCGTCCCCCCGCAGTCCCCGAAGGAGCCGGAGCAGCTCCGGAAGCTTTTCATCGGGGGCCTGAGCTTCGAGACCACGGACGAGAGCCTGCGCAGCCACTTCGAGCAGTGGGGCACGCTGACCGACTGCGTGGTGAGGGGCTGGGGGTCCTAAAAGGGGCATTGACAGCGGGAAAAATGGGGCTGGGGTCCCTGAAATGGGGCTGGGGTCCCTAAAATGGGGCTGGGGGCCCCGAAAGTGGCATTGACAGCGGGAAAAATGGGACTGGGGTCCTCTGAAATGGGGCTGGGGTCCCTAAAATGGGGCTGGGGGCCCCGAAAGTGGCATTGAGAGCGGGAAAAATGGGGCTGGGGTCCTCTGAAATGGGGCTGGGGTCCCTGAAATGGGGCTGGGGTCCTCTGAAATGGGGCTGGGGTCCCTAAAATGGGGCTGGGGGCCCCGAAAGTGGCATTGAGAGCGGGAAAAATGGGGCTGGGGTCCTCTGAAATGGGGCTGGGGTCCCTGAAATGGGGCTGGGATCACTAAAAGGGCACTGCCATCCCCAAAATCAGACCTGGGATCCCTAAAAATGGCAATTGGGACCCCTAAAAACTTCACGGGGATCCCTAAAACCAGAACTGGGATGACAAAAATGTCCCTGGGATCCTGGATGCTACCACTGCCCTGAGCGTTTGTGTGTGTGGTTTGTGTCACCTGTGTGTGTCCCCTCACCTGTGTGACCTGTGTCCCCTCACCTGTGTGACCTGTGTGCATCCCCTCACCTGTGTGACCTGTGTGTGACCCCTCACCTGTGTCCCCTCACCTGTGTCCCCTGCCCGTGTCCCTGAGGTGTCCCCGCTGTCCCTGAGGTGTCCCTGAGGTGTCCCTGCCTGTCCCTGAGGTGTCCCCGTGTCCCTGTCGTGTCCCTACCTGTCCCTGCGGTGTCCCCGTGTCCCTGAGGTGTCCCTGAGGTGTCCCTGTCGTGTCCCCGCCTGTCCCTGAGGTGTCCCTACCTGTCCCTGCCTGTCCCCGTGTCCCAGGTGATGCGGGACCCCAACACGAAGCGCTCGCGGGGCTTTGGGTTCGTCACCTACTCGTCGGTGGAGGAGGTGGACGCCGCCATGAACGCGCGGCCACACAAGGTGGACGGCAGGGTGGTGGAGCCCAAACGGGCCGTGTCCAGAGAGGTGAGGGACACTGGGGACATTGAGGGGACATTGGGGACACTGGGGACATTGGGGACATTGGGGACACTGGGGACACTGGGGACATTGGGGACACTGGGGGGACACTGGGGACATGGCAGGGTCACAGCAGGTGGTGGAGCCCAAACGGGCCGTGTCCAGAGAGGTGAGGGGCACTGGGGGGACATTGGGGACATTGGGGACACTGGGGACATGGCAGGGTCATGGCAGGGTGGTGGAGCCCAAATGGGCCGTGTCCAGAGAGGTGAGGGGACACTGGGGACATTGGGGGGACACTGGGGACATTGGGGACATTGGGGACAGGTGTGGTGGCTGTGCCAGGTGCTCCCAGCATTGACACTGGGGACAGGGCTGGTGGCACTGGCCATGCCCGCTGCTCCTGGTGGTGGTGGCCCTGGGGACAGGCCCAATTGCTGAGCCAGCTCCAGTGGTGTCCCTGGGGCAGCCCTGGTGGCCGTGTCCCCTGTCCCACTGCCATCCCGGTGGCCGTGTCCCCTGTCCCCGGTCCTGATGCCACCCCAGTGGCCCTGTCCCGTGTCCCCACTGCCATCCCGGGGCCCTGTCCCCTGTCCCTGGTGCCACCCCCCGGCCCTGTCCCCCGTCCCCGTCCCACTGCCACCCCCTGGCTGTGTCCCCCATCCCTGTCCCCTGTCCCCACTGCCACCCCGTGCGCGCCGCAGGACTCGCAGCGGCCGGGCGCGCACCTGACGGTGAAGAAGATCTTCGTGGGCGGCATCAAGGAGGACACGGAGGAGCACCACCTGCGCGAGTACTTCGGGCAGTACGGCAAGATCGAGGTCATCGAGATCATGACCGACCGCGGCAGCGGCAAGAAGCGCGGCTTCGCCTTCGTCACCTTCGACGACCACGACTCCGTCGACAAAATCGTCAGTGAGTGGCCCTGGGGACAGCGGGGGACACCTGGGGGGACAGGCTGGGGGGGACAGCCTGGGGACACCTGGGGGGGGTGACCGGCTGGATGGGGACAGCCTGGGTGGGACAGCCTGGGGCTGACAGCCTCGGGGGGACAGGCTGGATGGGGACAGCTGGGGACACCTGGGGGGGACAGCCTGGGGACACCTGGGGGGGACAGCCCAGCTGGGGACAGCCCAGCTGGGGACAGCCTGGGGGTGACAGCCTGGGGACACCTGGGGGGGTGACAGCCTGGTTGGGGACACCTGGGGACACTGGGGGGGGGGTGACAGCCTGGCTGGGGACACTGGGGACACTGGGGGGGGTGACAGGCTGGCTGGGGACACTGGGGACACTGTGGGGGGTGACAGCCTGGCTGGGGACACTGGGGGGGTGACAGCCTGGCTGGGGACACTGGGGATATTGGAGGGTGTTAGCCTGGCTGGGGACAGCTTGAGCATGGTGTGGGGCAGTGACAACCCACCTGGGGACAGTGTGGGGTGGGTGGCACCCTGGCCGGGACGCTGCCACCCGGTGAGCCGCGTGTCCCCCCATGTCCCCCCGCAGTCCAGAAGTACCACACGGTGAACGGGCACAACTGCGAGGTGCGCAAGGCGCTGTCCAAGCAGGAGATGGCCAGCGCCTCGGCCGGCCAGCGAGGTGAGCCCCGGCCGTCCCCGCTGTCCCCGGCTGTCCCCGCTGTCCCCCACTGTCCCCGGCCTGTCCCCGCTGTCCCTGCCCTGTCCCTGGGCTGTCCCCGCCGTGCCCAACCCCCCCGTCCCCCCCAG